GAAACACCTAAATGCATTCCAAACCCTCTTGGCATGTATATACTCACTGTCTTCAATGTGCTCCATTGTTAAATCATTGTAGAAACAATCTTTACTCGGGAGTTCATGCTCATTTAACCTTTCAAGGCTAGTGATGTAAGAATATGGGAACACCCCTTTCCTCAACAAGAGATTAAAATCATCATCAGAACAATTCTGAAAGTTACCGAAAAGATGTTTTGTGTTGGGAAAATACTTTGATAGTGCATCTTCTTGGTTTGATACTGTAGTCTCCGCTTTACATTTTAAGTTCTTAACAAGACCAGCTAATGAACCAACTAAGAAATTCAAACTATCTTTGAAATCTAGTTCGAAATTAGACTCAAAAATTTTAACTTAAAGTTGACAAACTTTTCCAAGTTTTAGCAGTTACTTCAATATTTTCTATCTCAGGAATGTTATGTAGCTCTTGTATAATGAAGTCTGCATCATAGTTTGAGAGATTGTGAAAAATCACTGGGATTGATTTTCTTGCACTGAATTGAAGATTACATGTAGAATGAGCAGGTCCTCTTTATTCTCCAGTCCAATGGCAATGGTCATAAACTTTGGGACCCTTCAGCTGTAATTCTTCCTCTTTAGATTGTGCTGTCTTGGTATCCCCCTCTCTAACATAATCATCTTCTACATCTTCAGGTCTACCCCTAGTCAAGAATTCCTTCAGACTCATTGTGTTGGTTATTCCCTCCTCACATATGTGACAGTGTGTAGCACACTTGTATTGTTTATACTCCATAGACTTCTTATCCAGCATTTGTTTCTTCATTCCCTCTTCGTGATAAAGAATATCCATTTTTTCAACTATTGTAATAAGCACTGAAAAAATTTGTTCACTGCGTCTGGACCAGTGTAGTTGGTTTCCTTTGAAATGATTGAACCAGTATTAGTATTTTCCAGTCCATATTTCAGAATTGGGAGTATGCAATACCCCGACACAATAAGCTCAGACATATGAGTTATGTTTCCTTCAGTTTTGTTTTCTGGTTTCAAATAGCTCTCAAAGTCGTAATATTGAACTAATGCATTCTCCATTAATGCACTAATTTTCGTAAATTTTATATTTTGTTTGTTGATGGTAGGGTAGGCGATTTTGGTTGGTTTATTTTTACTACAATGTTGGATATGTTCCTTCATTCGTTCATCACCATTATGATCAACCCTGAATCCAGTTAAACATCTTGGACAATATGTGAAAGAGTGTCCAGGTTGGTTTCTAAGGAGTCTTGACATGGAGGTGATACAAGTATAGTGGGTGTTGTCTGCTTCCTCATCATAAATCAACAACAAGTTGATTGGTTGTGTCTGCTCCTTTTGGCTTATGTAGAGGGGACGAATTGCAGATTCATTTACACCCATTGTGTAGATGTTAATACACAAGGAATTTAAAACTTCAAATTTTGGTACTTGTTTGATAGAGACAGGATATGTGAGTCCCTCACATTTTAGAGTTGATATGATAGCATCATACTTATTTCTGTTTTCCTGTGCATCAGTTGTTCTTGTTGTATTGTATAGCATGTGTGATGCTATCACATACAAGAAGCATCGCTCATCAGTGTTTTGCACGTTGATAACAGCTCTCTTACCAACTATACCTTTAGGAGTAGGTATATAACCAGCACCTGAAAATATGAAATATTTTTTATTATGAAATTGATACATGAACTTTTAAGAGTAAGGCATTTTTCTAAAAAAAAATAAAATCTGGATTGATACATGAATTTTAAGAGTAAGGCATTTATATTTTCTAATTTCTTGAAACTAAGAATTATAATACCTGTTGGATTGTAGTTACTTAATAGTACTCCACATTCTCCAATATGAGACAGAAAATTTCCCGATCCTCTCTTATTGAAGTCCTCTACTCTTTTACAGAGAGTGGCTTGTAATTCTTGAAACTGTGTATCAAAGTCTTCAATCATAAGTAGAGTTTGATTTGGAAGTCTGAATTGGGTATAAATTGATGACTCGTCAGTACGGGTAAAACCAACTTTTACATTGACACGATATTTACAACTTCTATGCGTCCTCATGTATTTCTTAATAGTCTCAAATAAGATTGGTTTAAACCCTGACATGAACTTGAGAATATCTTCAACCCCATTGTATTTCCAGCAGACAGATCTAAAAAATGTGTAATATATTTAAACATGTATGATTTTACACACACACACACTCACCCTTACACACACACTCACACACACACACACACACACACACACACACACACACACACACACACACACATGTCTGGAGTGAACTTTTAAGAGTAGGGGATTGTATGATTTCATACAGTTTAAGATTTATACCTTATTACTCCATCAAATGCATTACATATTTCCACCCTTTCAAAATCACTAGTTTCAACTGAGCCACGACCACTTTGATTTCTTAAATCACTTGAACTAGTTTCAACAGAGTCGGCACCACTTTGATTTCTTAAATCACTTGAACTACTTTCAACTGAGCCGTCACCACTTTGACTTAAATCATTTGAACTAGTTTCAACTAAGCCCCAACCACTTTGACTTAAATCATTTGAACTAGTTTCAACTAAGCCGCCACCACTTTGACTTAAATCATTTGAACTAGNAAAGTGAAAGTGAGTTTATTCAACCCCACTTTACCTGCTGATATATTTCTAATAAAAAGTAGTAAATCAAAATACAAGGAAAATAGAAAACAATAAAATAACATATTTTAAAAGCTTTTATATATTTTTTATTTATTTGGCAGAATTTCTGAAAAATTTATTTTATATAATAAAGAGCAAATTGGAGGGGGGGGTATATAGCGTGGGGGAGGGGGTTAAACAACGTCTGCCGTGGTGGAGGGGTGATTGCACAAAAAGTTAATAAAATATTCATTGAGCTATGACAATTGTAACAAATACTAAAATATTAATATCTTTAATTATTTCTCATCTATAATTATAGCTATAATAATCATAATCATCTATATCTTCCACTTTACCCATAGTTTATAAGACAAAGGTGCAGCAAAGTCTTTGGGTACATAACTTGTAAACGATCTTGCACGAAACAAAATAATAGAAAGACCTCAATAAGAAGCAGGAAATAGCTTTACTAATATATCATTTTATTTCTATGCGTGACTCGCGGGGAGTAAAGAATATAACTGACGTGGTTTGCCCTACCATATGATTATGCGTGCTTTATTGTTTACGCGGTAATTATATATCAGATAAGTATTTCTTACACAAATGGAGTACGCGTCAAAGTATGTATAATCATATGGTAAGGCGGCCGCGTCAGTTATATCTTCCTTCTATTCTTTACTCCCTGCGAGTCACGCATACAAATAAAATGATATATTAGTAAAGCTATTTCCCAGTGGCGGATATAAGGGGGGTTATTGGGGTTATTTACCCCCCCCCTAGAATCCTGGGGGTAAATACCCCCCCCTAGAATCCTGGGGGTAAATACCCCCCCCTAGAATCCTGGTGGTAAATACCCCCCTAGAATCCTAGGGGTAATTACCCCCACCCCCTAGAATCTTGGAGGTAATTA